AATAACTTCTTATTTAAGTCAGCAAGTTCTGGAATGCAAAACTCCCATCTTTATTCATTTATCTTATACTCAGAATCTCCTAAAGAACTGTAAGCTTACCAGATACTTTAAGGAGTAGGAAGAAATGTCACCTCCATGTCAAATTGTTTTCACGGTAAATTCTTACCTGAGAGGGCCTTCATTTGTTTTCAGGCTCTTGCTCTTTCACTAAGCCTACCTAATTCTCTTTCTCCACATTGCTCAGCAATTGTCAAAAGAGAGAGAATTAATATTTTTACTTTGCATCACTATTACTACCCAGGAAACAAGAGGGTTAATCAACTAGCCCAAGGTCACCCACCTAGTGAATACATGTTACATTTTTTTCACTCTCCATATGCTGTGGTTTTAGCCTGTGTGTTAAATGAACCAAGTCAATCTTAAGTGGTTCTCAGGAGTAGAGACTGAGATCCACTGTTTGTGTTTCGGTACTGAAAACCAAATGCAGTTCTGGGCCTCTAAGAGGTATCTGACATGTACAAATAGCAGTGAAGGAATGATACCATTGGAGGAAGGAAGATGGTGAGGATTGACACATAAAAAAAGTATTCTCAGTTTTACAAAATGTTTTCTCTTACATTTTGGTTGTATTTTTTTTATAGGCGACAAGTTAATTATCAATGATAATCAGAAGACCATGTTTCCTAAGTTATTTAAGCAAATACCTCTCTTTGAAGTCTTTTGTTCGTTTGTTTTGTTTTGTTTTTCCATCTAGTGAATTCCAGTAAAAATCCACAGTTCTCGAAGAACTACAATTGCTCTATTGCTTTACTACTTGATGACTGGGGAACATTAAATTCAGAATGGTGGCATTTTTATTTAAAAAAATCAGTCCTAGTTTCCACTTGAAAAAAAATATAAGCTTTTTTATTTTATTATTATTATTATTTTTAAATTATTTATTTATGATAGTCATACAGAGAGAGAGAGAGGCAAAGACAAGGCAGAGACACAGGCAGAGGGAGAAGCAGGCTCCAAGCACCGGGAGCCCGACGTGGGACTCGATCCCGGGTCTCCAGGATCGCGCCCTGAGCCAAAGGCAGGCGCCAAACCACTGCGCCACCCAGGGATCCCCAATATAAGCTTTTTTAAATAGGAGCTTTTAGAAATCACGTTTGTAATCTAAGTGCATTTTCAACTCTTGACTATATAAGTTATTCCCTCATTAATAGAAAAATCAGCCATGATTTAGGGATTATGGATAAACATATCAATTACTGAGAAGCCCCAACCATTACTAAGCCCTCAGTAATGACAGCACACTCAGACTTCACAGCAAATATCTTTTTTTTTTAGTATATTATCAGCTTAATATCTTTTTATCTTATGTCCCTGGTCCAAGAACCACATTGAAATGCAGGGCTTGTATCAAATTTCCTGTGAAAATGTTAAAAATCTTTATCTCTCATGAACTATTTTAGAGAAATTTCACATGATGGATGGTGGATCATACTCCAGATCCATAACTGACAAGTTGAATCTAGTAAATTCAAACAAGAAATAAAAGCAGAATGACTGCAAGTTTTGTTTTTAAATGATGTCATCAGTAACATCTGCTTTAAGGTTAGCTTTTCTTCAGGCTAATTTCTTGAAGAACAAAAGCCTAACTACCCAGACCTTTGGTTTGCACCATTTTCTTCTGGAATATCTGGGATTCTGTGTCTTTAAAGGTTAAATATAGAAGAAATGGCAACGTGTGAACATGAAGAAATGCAATATCATTGTGCTGTTAGTATCTATCACGGTAGTAGTAGTTCAACGAAAGGTTATATAACTACTGGTCACTTGAATGTTATGATAACATAATCAGTGCTGTATCTTTTTCATATTTCTATTTTCTTCCCAATGTTCATTAGAGTGCCTAAAAGTCTTGTTATGGATTTTAAGAAACGTAATGTTTGAAATATTATGTACATTATTCCTATGGAAGACCTGAGGTACTTAAGTTTTTTTTCAACCTATGAAAATGCTGCATTGTAGAATATTATAGCACAAAAGCAAATACCAGACCTCATCAATATAATTAATTCTAGATTTAAGTCATTTTAGCTTTCCTGAAAAGGAAAAACATAAATTTGTCAGTTATTAAACCATTGGGGTCCAAGAGATGAATACATATTGCAGACTGACATGTTTACTGACATACATTTATATGCACGAAATTTAACATGATTCCTGTTCAAGGATGTCTTTGATATGTATATATTTTTAAAATTTAAATTCCTTTTATTTTTACTCTTCATTTATGTTATCAACTCTATTTCCAAAATTTCATCTTCAGAGAATCCAGATTTTAATTATTTTCCCATTATAATTTCTGGACCCACAACTATACTTCAATAAAGCTAGTTAGTTCTGTTTTTGTGAGGATATTTTATTTTATTTTATTTATTTTTTTTGTGAGGATATTTTAAAAGGGGAATCAGTACCTTCACAAATCTTAAAAAAGGCATCTTCAGAGTCTGTTGCCACTATTGCTGTGTATACTTATTTCTTTCTTTTCAATGCCATGAATCATTATAAATGTCAGGTTCATTATTGTGGCATGCTGAAATGATTGAGTGGGAACTGTGCCCAGCACTTCATTGTAAAACAATCCATCCCTAAACACATTGCCCTCTACTGTATGCATCAGCCCAATTAGATTTTCTTTGACACTTTGGTGATTGCTCTTTTGTTTGGTCTTGGAGAACTCAAAACCATAAAATTCAACTCAGATTTGAACACAATATCATAACTATTGCTTTGCTACCTGAGGGGAATCTGTGCATGTCAAGTAGAGTCATGCCTACTTGTATTTGCTTGTAGGATTGCATTCTGCACTTTGCCTTCACTTTAGTCATCTAATCAGTACATATCAGTGAACTTTGCTGTGTTAAATGGTTTTTTACTCTAGTAGATTAGGAGCCCCATTCTTTATCTATTCACATGGGATCAAATTTGCCTTTCCTGGTAAAAAGAAACAGCTTAGAACCAACCTGTAGTAGTCTATTTTCTAGGTGGTCATCCCAATTTGCAAAATCCCAAACCATTCCTCCCCCCAATTGGTGAATGTGTGCAAACGTATGAGTTCCAAAGTGCAGCCTTTGTCAGCACAAAACCAACAACAGCTGATGATGTTTGCCTAGGTCTATTACTATCTCATTCCTAGACCTAACTTCCCAACAGCTGGTTCTGCGGACTTTCAAAGAGAGCTGGAGAATGGACAAGGCTTGATATACAATATTAAGAGCAAAAGAGGGCAATAAAAGAGATTTTTGAAGAAGAAATATGAAAGTCCATATTGCTTTTCTTTTAATAACCACATTTTTTTTTCTTTCACCGGGTTATGGGATTGCCTCAGTCAGGAGGACCTGCTTAACTCTGCAATTCCAAGGGTTTCTAGAGGCGCTCCAAAGCCTTTGCCGGAAGGTGGCGACATCCGCCCTTCTTGCCTAGAGCTGTCCCAGGTGCTGAAGCCGACATCCGCGCTTGAGGGAAACCGCGGGCCCGCGATCCGAGATTCCAAGTTCCCCTAGAGGTTTGCAGGCTCTGGCCAGACAAGCCAAAGGCCAGATCAAGTGCTCGACCTTGTTTACAGAATCCAGGCAAAAGACTCCCTTCCCTAAAAATACTCCGCCATGAAGCTACTAACCGTGGTAATGTTCATTGACATTAAAAAAAAGGTGATGGTAACGGAAAGGCGTGTGTTTATCTATGTGTGCAGAATGCATACGGGATTGAGTTTTTTCTTCACTCTGAGATGTATTTACCTGTCCGTTGATATGCCCTTTCCCTCCTAATTTCCCAAAGCAAATAAATAAATAAAGCCACAGGCAACATCCTCCCCCAAGAGAATCAGGCTGGACTGTCAGAGAATGAACGGGCGGGCAGGCTTCCTTAAAAAAAGCTAAAAAAAAAAAAAAAAAACCACTTGGTCTTCTTTCCATCAGTTAACAATAATTTACAGACGACCCCGGGCCTGGCTACCTCCCCGTTCAGGCTCCGTGTGGCTCCTTTGCCCATCTCCCACTGCCACTCCGGGGCTGCTTACCCTGCTTCATAATTAGACAGAAATACGAAGCAACGGATAGTTAGGATTTTTTTTTTCCCACCCTCTCGAGTTTGGCTGGATGAGAGGCGGAGTTACGTGTTGTGATATTGGTCTGACCCGCGGCAGACGCGGTGGAAGCGAGTTCTGAACCTCTGCCGACCGAAAGGGGCCAGAACCAGCGCGGAGCCAGAGGGAGGGGAGGGGGGGGCGGGGAGGGCGGGGACCCAGAGGAACGAGGCACTCGGGGCTGGGGAAATGCTAGCAGGGGAGGGTTAGCGTGGGAGGGAGGGACACTGTCGGAGGAGCTGTCGGAGCCACACACGGAGGGATAAGGAAAGCGGAGTGAGAAGAAAGGAGGAAACTGAAAGATTCAGGAGCGAGAGGGCGGAAAGGGAGGAGAGAAGGCTCCGGAGAAAGAGAAGAGGCCGGAGGAGAGAGTGGGAAAGAGGAAGGGAGGGGAGCAGACACAGGGGAGTCGCCGACGGACCCTGCACGATGAGGCTTCTCCATTCCAGATACTTCTAAGATTGAGGACTGCTTGCTAGTGGGGAGACTCCGGCTCGGGCAGCCAGCCGGCCCAGTGGCAAAGTAAAATGAACAGTGAGACCCAGACGTGGCGGCCACCTCTCCGACATCCGGAGGTCCCGGAGCCGTTCTCGGGCCAACTCCTTTCCCAGCTGGCGTCTCGGAGCCCGCCGGACCAAGGGAGCCCAGGGAACGCCTGGAAGCTTCTCCCCGGAGATGCCCTCGCCTAAGCAGTAAGAACTTCTTGCTTGAGTCCCTACATTGCCTCCACCTGCAACTCCCCCGGAGAGAGGGCTGGGAGACCCCCAAGGGGGAGGGGCGAGGGGGACCCGGACGCCGCTCTTTCTCCCCTCCCCCTCCCCCGCTCCCCCCCGTCCCCCCCCTCCCCGCCCGGCGCGCAGGCATGGAGGGGCTCAGCCCCGGACAGGGCAACAACACCACCTCGTCCGAGGGGCCCTTCGGGACGCGCGGCAACGCTACTGGCATCTCCGACGTGACCTTCAGCTACCAAGTGATCACCTCCCTGCTGCTGGGCACGCTCATTTTCTGCGCGGTGCTGGGCAATGCGTGCGTGGTGGCCGCCATCGCCCTGGAGCGCTCCCTGCAGAATGTGGCCAACTATCTCATCGGCTCGCTGGCTGTCACCGACCTCATGGTGTCGGTGCTGGTGCTGCCCATGGCCGCGCTGTACCAGGTGCTCAACAAATGGACGCTGGGACAGGTCACCTGTGACCTATTCATTGCCCTCGACGTGCTGTGCTGCACCTCGTCCATCCTGCACCTGTGCGCCATTGCGCTGGACAGGTACTGGGCCATCACGGACCCCATCGACTACGTGAACAAGAGGACGCCCCGGCGCGCCGCTGCGCTCATCTCGCTCACTTGGCTCATCGGCTTCCTCATCTCCATTCCGCCCATGCTGGGTTGGCGCACCCCCGAAGACCGCTCGGACCCCGACGCGTGCACCATCAGCAAGGACCACGGCTACACTATCTACTCCACCTTTGGCGCTTTCTACATCCCGCTGCTGCTCATGCTGGTCCTCTACGGGCGCATTTTCCGCGCCGCGCGCTTCCGCATCCGCAAAACAGTCAAGAAGGCGGAGAGGAAGGGAGCGGACGCCCGCTCCGGGGTGTCGCCAGCCCCGCAGCCCAGGAAGAGCGTGAACGGCGAGCCGGGGGGCAGAGAATGGAGGCAGGGTCCGGGGAGCAAGGCTGGGGGGCCTCTGTGCACCAACGGCGCGGTGAGGCGGGGCGACGACGGCGCCGCCCTGGAGGTGATTGAAGTGCACCGCGTGGGCAGCTCCAAAGAGCACCTGCCGCTGCCCAGCGAGGCTGGCGCCATCCCTTGCGCCCCCGCCTCCTTCGAGAAGAAGAATGAGCGCAACGCCGAGGCCAAGCGCAAGATGGCCCTGGCCCGGGAGAGGAAAACGGTGAAGACGCTGGGCATCATCATGGGCACGTTCATCCTCTGCTGGCTGCCCTTCTTCATCGTGGCCCTCGTCCTGCCCTTCTGCGAGAGCAGCTGCCACATGCCCACCCTGCTGGGCGCCATAATCAACTGGCTGGGCTACTCCAACTCCCTGCTCAACCCCGTCATCTACGCCTACTTCAACAAGGACTTCCAGAACGCCTTTAAGAAGATCGTCAGGTGCAAGTTCTGCCGCCGACGGTGACGGTCCTCTCGGGCCCCCACCGACGAGCCCGGTCCTCTCGGGCCCCCGCAGCCTCCGGCGCGCACCCCTGGGACAGCTCGCGACTTCCCCGCGGCCTCCGGCCCTCCTCCCGCCTCCCCGCTTCCTCCTCCTCCTCCTCCCCCCCCCCCCTCCTCCTCCACCCAATCCCCTGCTCCGAGGGAGCGCGCGGCGCGTAGGGGGCCCCCGAGCGGAGCGGCTGCAGGACCCGGGGAGCTCCCGGGCGTGCGGGGGGCCACCTCGGCTCGGACCGCGGCCCCGGGACCCGTTCCGATCCCCCGCACTGGCCTCCTCCCACGCCTCTGCACCCCACATCTCCGCGGGACTTGAAGCCTCAGCCGTACAAGGCAAAAAAAAAAAAAAAAAATCAATCTACATAGAAACATTAAACCGTACACGCAGCCGCCGCGCCCACTGAGGCCCCCACCTGCCCGCCCCGCTGCTAGAACTTGGGTTTAAAGTTGAGGAATTTGCTTCACTCCCGACCCCCAGCCCTGCCCCGCCTTCCTCCCCGAGAAACTCACTTTCGTTGATTGATTGATTGATTGATTGATTGATTGACTGATTGATTTCGGTTGCATCCCTTCTTTCCACGTCCCTTTCTGCCCTCCCTCGTCCCGGGCTTTGGTCTGCCAGCCGGGAAAGGCTGGAGGGTCCCTTTCCCCGGAGCGCGCGGCGTCTCCGGGACTCGCCGCCTGCGTAGACTTGCTCAGTAACCCTCTCGCGCCCCGCCCCGCGCTCCGCTCCCTCGGGCTGCAAACGCGGGGCCCGGGGCGGTGCCTCGGGGTGGACTCGTCGGGCCCGGCGAGGCGGGGGGTGCGGGGCGACCGCGCTCACCCAAGAGCCTGAAGGCAGGTGGCAAGGCTGCAGCGGCCCTGGGCCCCGACGGTCTCCGCTTGCTCCCGCAGGCTGTGGCGCCCGGGGGGCCGAGGGGGCCGAGGGGGCCGGGTCAGTAGGGCTCGCTGCAGCCGCGGGAGCTGGATCCCGCGGGACGGGGCGGGGGGAGGGGACCTGGGAAGCCCAAGGGGTGGCGGGGGGCGGGCGGTGGCCTGGCCCAGGGAGGCGACGCCGGAGCGCGCGGCCCGGGCTGCAGGTGGCGCTCCTCGTGGACCCCAGAAGGGCGCTTTCAGCCAAGGATACAGACCCTTTCCTCCCGACTCCCCCCGCGTCCCGTCGATTGCAACAGTTGCGTGAAGCGCCTCCTCCCCCTGCGCCGGGTGCCAGGTTCGCTCCCCCCGGGTTCGCTCCCCAAGTCCAGCGCGCGTAGGTGCCAGGACTTTGCTTTCCAAACAGGAATCCCAGGCCTCCAACCCAACGCGTCCCCATAGGTGTAGCGCTGCCTGGGACCTCATGGGGCAGTCACTTTAAATAACGAGGCCCCAAAGACTAGCGAGGGGTGCTCTCGCTGGGAGGCCCTGAGAAGCTTGTACAGGGTTGGGTTTGCTCCTTGGCCTGGGGTGAGCCACAGGTCCTGGACACACCGCTTTCTTGCCACTTGAAGATGTAGAGCATTCCAGCCCCCCCCCCCCCCCAGCTCCTCTTTCAACCTTGCCACTTCTGCTGAGAAACCAGTTCTAATCTCTACTGCCCCCAGAAGGGAAGCTATTTTTGGTGCTCCGTTTGAATGTAAATCTCCAACCACAGGACTGGGATCAAGAGGTTTGTGAGTTAGATGTAGCCTCTAATTTTCTGATGACTAACGGTTGTGTTTTCCAGTAATTGCACAAAGGTATTGATTTTTACTCCCTTCTCCCTTCAACTGGACCTTCGGAGTGATTGCGTCTGCTGGTTTGAGGACGGTGTTGCAGAAGTAGCCGATGGAAAGTTCACTGGCATTTAGGATTAAGCAAGTGACAAGACAGCTTCATCACTGAAGGCATTTTTACTGTTTGTCAACAGAGCAAAGCCTCCATCTGGTATCCCTTTCTCGAACTGAAACTGAGAGTAAGCATCATATCCCGTTAAGACCGAGAAAGTCTAAGAACTCTGGACGCTCAGCCGATGGCTTGTTTTTGCATATGTGAGGCTGATAAGGGGCTAGGGTGAAAAAGTAGACGTCTTCAGCCCAAAAATTATTCATCTGCAAAGTCAATTTCTTTTTTTTTTCTAACAAGAATTTCAGGACAGCTGTATGAAGAGAAAATGCACTTTTCTGTATGTCTTCCTTAATTTTAGAACACATTATATATATATATATATATATATATATATAATTCAAGCTCAAAACTTGCTTATCCAAATTATGCCTTGGCCAGCAAGCTTTACATTTTGAAGTCTTGAGTCTTCCATTGATTTGTGTCTTTTACAGAACTGTATGGCAATGGTTTCTGGACATTTGTTTTTCCTGCTCTGGAGGACTTACATGAAAACGAGGAAGGAGCATCCAATTGGAGTATAATTGCCAAGGCAATAGAGAAATTTGGGCAATAAGTGCATAGCAGTCAACAGCCCCTAATGCTTTTTCTTTCTTTTAGTATTCGTATTAAGATAAAGTATATATGCATCAAAATCGGCCTTCACTTTTCTTTGTGACAATAAAGGACTTTATTAATGGTAATGCTACAATAAACTGATATCAGTAACACCTGCATCTCTATTTTAATCAGAATCACTGTCTATTTATTTATTTGTATTATTTCAAAATTGGAGTTCAAAAATACAACGATCAGGAGAAGATTCTACTATACAGATCAGGGATGTGACACTTGGGGAAATAAATTTAGTTTTTAGTGCTAAAGCTCATTCTAAATGAGTGATGTCTTTAAAAAAAATCCTATCTCTGGAAAGAGAAGGTCACATCTCATCGTTTAACCACGAAACCATGAATTTTCCCTGACTGACACCTACAGTTAAGACTTAGACATCTGTCTAATTAATATGGACAGGGTGGAGGACATGCAGAAGAGAAATGCAGCCTCTGGTGAAGGCAACAAGGCCCTATCCAGTGCTCCTACAGCAGTGAACAATCTGACATCCCTCCTCTGTCTTGCCCACAACTTCCAGCTAGAAGAAAATAGCCTCCCCTGGTTTCAAATAAAGCAATTCACTGTTTTGGTGTTTGTCACTGAATTAAAAGTGGAAGAACATTTTCCTTTCTGTCTGGATCTCATTTGATAGTGGGCTTCTAGATGGAAGATCTATTACTATGTGGGTTTTTTTTTTTTAAGATTTTATTTATTTATTCATGAGAGACACAGAGAGAGAGGCAGAGACACAGGCAGAGGGAGGAGCAGGTTCCTTGAGGGGAGCCTGATGCGGGGCTCGATCCCAGGACCCCAGGATCATGATGTAGGCTGAAGCCAGATAGTCAACAGCTGAGCCGTCCAGGTGTCCTGATCTATTGCTGTGTTAAAATTAATTTTGATGCTCTCTTTTCCCCTACTGGAATCATCAGTGACGCTCTTGTTTCCCAGACTTTTTTTTTCTTTTAATTCAATTTGCCAGCATATGGTATATGTTTGTTAATTCCGCTGCTTTCTGGTGTGAGAATGATGGCTGCAGCACATGGTGAGGCCAGGTACATGCCACAGGAAAACAGGGGTCAGGGGATACAAGGGCCAGAGAAGAGAGCACTGTGAAGCTGCATGAAGCCCTTGTGCAGGTAGTATATGTAAATACATGTTCTCCCCATGATGAAAAGTAAAAATAGGGCAATGGAGGAAGAAAAGCTGTCTAGAATTTCTCATATGAAAACTGTTACATTGAGTTTCTGATCCTGAGTAAAATGTTGTGTTTAGAATATTCGTCTTTTATTTATTTATTTATTTTATTTTTTTGGAATATTCATCTTTTAGATTCTGGGTATCTCCCTTGGCTCTTGTTCTCTGCTCTGGCATCTATTCCTCCAAGGGGACAATGGCTTTCTGTTTTCTCTAGGCCTCCCTTGAGTCTCTAGAACACTCCAATTGAGAAAGAAAACCGTTCTCATTCACTTCCAGTGTGACTAACAAGCCTGGATAACAAATTAACAGCCACCGCGCATCAGGCTCCATTAAATAATGTTGAAATATGGGCCTAAGAATATATTAAAAATTAATATAAGATATCTTGGTCACCTTGAAGGCGTTTCCAACCTACCGGGCTATATAAGAACGAGCTCTGAAGGCTAAACAAATGCTAATGGTAGACCATTAGTGTCATATGAACAGGACAAGTCACAAGAGTTTGGCTCTGAAAGAATTGAGGGGACCGAGGTCACTGTGAGTTAGGGGTGAGTAGGAAAGATTAGGGAGGGAAAGTTGCATAAAGCCTCCAGGACTGAGCTGTGGGCACACGGATGGGGGTGGTGTGAAAAGGCAGACATTCTTTATGAGATGTCAAAGACAACCTGAACCCTTCTTCTTGTCAAGTGGGGGCCTGGGATGAAATCTGTGACTGGATTGCTGGATGCTGGGAGGCCTGGGTTGGTTGAGGTGGTAGAGATCCTGGAGAAAGATGTAGGTTCACGGCTTCCTGTGTGTTGTATCAGCAGAGGCTGGGAAGTGAGAGCAAAGATGAATCTATCAAGTCAGAGAAATGGCAGTTGGGGTAACTAGATAAGAGGAAGAATGTTTCGACAGAGTAAGGGCACCGCATACGCAGAACGAGAGAATCATGAAACTATTAAGTGTCGACAGAAGATTGATCAAGGGTAGGTACAAGACAATAATTCATACTTATGTGATGTTGAAGTTTTTGCCAAATGATTTTCACACAATATACCATCGAACTTTGGGGTAGCAGATCCCTTCAGAAATGCCAAGTAGACCACTTTAGCCAAAGCAGAAGATTCCCTTAGCAGTGGGCAAATATGGAACAAAGTGCTCGAGATCATATGCAGAATCATTATAATTCCAGGTTAAAAGGCTAGAGCTACAGTTTTAGTCAGTGTGGAGCACTGAGGATGAAGGCAGGAGCCTTCTGTTTGGAGCTAATCTCAATGACGTGGGTGGACCAACGGAGACCTGACTGAGGTCGCAGCAGAAGGAATGAAAAACGAGTTA